AGTAGGCCAATGTAACCAAGGAGCAGGTAGAACCCAGGAGGCCATGGCTCTTTACACTCCACAACAATCTAAAGATGTTAAACAAGTATAAAAACAGGGATTTTTTTATGAATATTTTTTATTTGTCTCTTTCCATATATATAAATATAGATACAGATATGGATATTTCCGTCTTTTTGGATGGTTCATGGCAATATCAACTAAATCAAGAAAATAAATTACAAGACTAAGGATTTCAAAGAAGAATGAATACACTGAGGATTTTAAATCATTATGTTTGGTTCCTCTATGTTACTGTGTGTTACTGGCTTTTGTGATGGCTGATGGCAATATGAAAACATAAATTACAGAAGTCATATTTTCAGTATTTAAGACTCACTTTTCCAGTTAAAGCTTGGTAGTTTGGGTTCCTGAATGGAAAGGGAGGTGCTCCCAACACCCAGCCAGAACAGAGACAAATCTGAGGGGAAGATAGAATGATAGAAGAATACCAGCAAGACACAAACTGATCTTTAATTGACAGTGACTATTCCTCCTACCTGAGGAGCTGTCGCACAGATGATCAGAATCCTCTGCTGGGATGTACCAAACAGCTTCCGACCCCTGGAACCAGGTACATTAGTCCGGAAAGCTAGGAGGACTACAATAGTCTTAACAAGGAGGCAGGACAAACACAGGACAAAGCTTATCCCAAATGCTGCCTGGCGGAGCCTACATGTCCACCAAGATGGCTGACCAATGAACACCAAAGAACACAGGAAACAGAGCTTGAGTGACAGGAGAAGCAAGAAACTTATTTCTGAGTTATTGGCCTTGACGATGGGTGTATAGCGGAAACTGTGAAAGACAATAGTGATGATGGTGGTCAGTAAGAATCCCAACAGGGTGAGTGCAACCAGGATGATACCCATGGTGTCATAGAAAGAGAGGAATTCTTCTAATCCTGCAACACATTTCACTTTTTCTTTGTCTGACCAGAAGTACTCAGGACATTTTGTGCACTCAGTGGAACCTTTGGGAACAAATAAAACAGATATATGATCACATTTTCATAATGTTTCCTCTCTGCAACATTTCTGTTACTTTAATGACCTTCTTGATTGCACTACATAATGCTAAAGGAGGATATTGTTTGTTTGTGTGTTTGAACTTATATAGGCTACCAGTCTGGTTGCTGATCTCTCCATCTGCACAGGGCAAACAATCAAAGCAGCATTTGGGCTCTCCTTGGCGCGTGGCCTGCCTGCTGCCAGGGGGACACGGAGCACTACACTGAGATACAGGAACCTGAACAAGGAACACAGAAAGGTTTAATAACGGGCAGACTTTTCCCCATTTAAAGTAGAAAAAAAAAACAAATGAAGAAATGCGTATTGTTTTTGTTTTTTTTGTTTTGTTTTGTCTGTTTCATCCTTAAGAGTTGACATAATGAAATATCTTGATGTATGCTCAATCATCCAGGTATGTAAATTCCAAAAAGTTGACATGGATGTAACGTTTTCAGTGGGAGAAACGTTTTGTCACTCAGTCTCAGCTGACTTCAGGGTTCCCTACCTTGTAAACAGTACCTTTGCACAATGACTGAAACTAGCCCACTGAATGAACAACGTGCTGTGAGGTCAGCTTCTTGATCATCAATATGTGGTTGTTCACAATTGATCATCAACAACTGATCAAATAATTGTCTATCATTGATCAATGGCCATGAATACTATTCGCAGAGTTGGGGACTGGCTGCAATCACAGCATTGTAAAATGGTGAAAGATGTAAGGAAACCTGCAGTCAGGTGGGACTGAAGAAGTCAGTTGGATGAGTGATGAAACATTTCTCCCACTAAAAACACTATGTCCAGATTAACAGAACCAACTTTTCGGCATGATTGGAAATCCTAGATTGGATTGGAAACCTCATTATTTCACATAGTGTAATTATGAGATTGTTGTCCAGAGTAAAAGAAAAATAATTTAAAGGCACAAAAATAAATATTTTGAGGTTAACTCTGACATACCTGAGATTGCTTTTTTGTCCAAACAATAGTGTTTTTCACTATCTTCAACTGCTGTCCTTGTGGAGCTGAACCATCATAGCTTCCGACTTTGATAAAGCTATGATAAAAAACAGTAAATTATTTCAAAATGCATTCTAACCAAATAATACATGCAATAGAACTGCATCATGAAATAGAAATATTGCATATTTTTGGTGATTACTTTCACTGTTCAATTATATGCGGAAGTATTATATTCCACCTGATTTTATCCATGCTGCTCTCCTGCCAGTTAACAATGTCATAAAGCGGGACTGGCTCTCCATTGGAGTCAAAGTATATTTTCTCATCAAACTGGTTAGTGAAATTCACCATTTTCAGATCTTGAAGAAACTACAAGAAAAGATCATTAGAAAATATTTTAAAAACCTACAAAAACACATGAGATCACATTAACACTGCTTCACTGAGTGAATGTGTTAAATGCAGAGAGGAATTTCCCTACGGGGATCAATAAAGTATAAAGTATACATTATCCTCATGGTATATTTTGTTATAATTTCACTTACCTGACCATTTGCAAATGAGTTGTGCATCTCACATAATCCCTCATTAAGTTCTGTTGAGTCACACTTCAAAAACTTGTGAAGAGCATGAGCAATGGCATACACAGCTTTATACACATTATAGGAAATTCGAACCTGAGATACATCACTATAACTGCTGTCAGTGTATCTTAGATCCTCTGAACCTGTGCACACGGGTTTTTCTTCCACTCTCCCATTAAATAAACGATCATCTCCGTTCCTGTTGTAGCGAAAACTATACATATCAGTGAAGTTATCAACAATATTTGCTTCATAGTCTTTGGCTCTTTGGCTTTCAAATTCTAGCTTGCAACCAAAATGTTCTTCCCAGAACATATTGAAAAATTCCATTCCTGGTTTGGGAGAGGGTCGGACATTCAAAAGAAACTCTTGAAAGCCTGGGATGTTGACTCCGGGGAAAGAGAACCCCAGTGTTCCCACTAGGAGAGGGTGGAATTCAGGTGAGGCCAGCCGGCTAGAGGTAACCCAAGCTTCACTTGCTATCCACTGTATCCCAGTCACATTCCTCCTAGCAAGCTGGATAATATTATGTAATCATAAAAACGGACACAATTTATGTTGCAGTTTCTTTGTCTTATAATAGTTTTATAAAATCAAAAATGTGAAAAACAATGTGAATATAAAGTTTTATTTTAAATCACATAATAAATCAACAAACATACTTACTTCTAAAAGCAGATCTAGCAGTTCCACTTCTGTAGCAAACACCACCACAACCCGAGCAGTTGAACTCTGCAGCTTGTCTGCTATTTCTTTTATCTCAGCCACTGTGGGTGATGTTGGGATAGTGTGGTGATATGCCACACACCCACCTTCTTTTCTAAATTGAATAGAGAATGCTTGTATGCCATAAAGACTGTAATCATCCTGAAAAAATAAATA